GATTACAAATAAATTCTTATTTGTTGCGTCTATGGAAACTTCTTGAAAAACATATCTACTTTGCTCGTATTAAAGGATAAAATTAATTTCGAATAGATGGGGTCAAAAATAAGATTAGAGAAGGCGTACGATATTTACATAAATGGTATCTGGATTACGGGTCAAATTTGAATTTTAGATTAGGTTAAAATTTTTCAATATTTCTGAATGACTCTTACTTCAACTTACAATCTATATCGTACCAAGTAAAAACAGAGCAAGATATACGAAATTATATTTTTATTCTTATTTTAATTAATAGCTTATAAATATTATCAAAAATGACTATCTCATTTTATACAAAAAATAAGCAAGACAAAGCATAAAAAGTTTGTATAGAAAAGTAAAAATACTAACTAAAAAGTCTGTTCTTTCTACCTACGTCACAAGGAACTTAGAATCAAGACAAATAGAAATTAGGAAAAAAAAAAACAATGTAAATTTTATTGCAACCATTTCGCGAAACAAAATCTATTTAGATAAAATTAGTAACATGTATAGCCAAATGTATTTTTTTTAAGTTTCCTCTTATCGGTATTCAACTAATTCATGCATTCTCTTCCAGCCAGTTCAATTCTAGGCCATATTTTTGGCTTCCCTATACGACATGACACCTAGTGTACCATATTTACGACATTCACTTGGTTGTGTTTAGCATTACGCACGGTTAAACACGCGAACTTTTGTAAAGTAACTGTGGATATTGGCCAAACAGAAACTTGTAGAATCTCGAAACTATTCGTAAAATCCGTTATGTTGGCCCTCGCATAAATTAATGCCGGACACGGAATAGTTTCAACTTGGATGATTCCTTGGCGCACGTTTCATTAAACTTTCTAATGGAGCGAGGACGAAACCGCATGGTACGAGTAATGGCTATCCAACAAAAGCTTATTTTAGACACAATCGAATATTTGTTATTTCTAATCTAAATTAAAAATTTACAATCATCCAAACATATTCGTGTTTAAATAAATTTATTACAAATGATATTATATATTACGTCATGTATATAAAGTGTCCCATGTGTTATTTTTTACACATATATATCTTCTCGGTATAGCCACCCTTTCCTTTCTAGTAAGTATTGTAAAAGGCGATTAAGGGAACGTGATAGTCGAGGAATGGGCAGCAGCATCCCTCTTAAAACATCATCAAAATCTGCGGTTGCCAATCTGGCTGTCAAGCGTGGCAACTACTGGCAAAGCCCCGCAATAGAATGAGACCTATGATTAGCAGTGGGTGGTAAAGGGCTGACATGATGATGATGATGTGTTAATTTAGAATATAACTCATCAGTGTTTCGTACTTTATTGAAATCCCTTCAGCAATTTAAGCGTGAGTTAACAAACATACAAAGGTCTTTACAAACTTTTACATTTAAATATCAGCAAAGGCACAGGTAAACGCAACACAACTAACAAATATTCAATTGGCTTCTTAAATTATTTATTTATTCCTCGGCCTTCTTGGTATAATCCTACACACCAGAAATGTATATTCCCATTTTCTTTTACTGCTCGCCCCCTAAAACTAGTTCGTAAAATCCCTGAATATTATTGGCTTGCTATTCCTGGACGCTGGTCTTTATTTCCATTTCGGCCCTATTTATTACGGTCCCGTTTTATTGGGACTGGTTTGGTAAATGGATTTTGCGAGAGGCTGATTCTAGGTAGTTTGAACAATGGCATAATCATAAATGCTCAAATGCTTAACGTCTGCAATATTCTAACACATACGTCAATGTGTTTTGTTTATTAGGTTAATTTTTTTAATAAATTAATTAAATATTTAAAAGGGTACGAATAGGTCGATGAAAACAGAAACAATGATCATTCTTGACAAAATTTATAATTATTATTTATGTACTGACATAATTTTATTGGTATTATTGGTTTTATTTTATAACTTGCAATATTAATATATATTTTTTATTGCTCTAAAACATACAGTAATAATAGCAATTAGTAATAACGTAAGCAAAGGTGAACTTATCTCTAAAAGAGATCTCTTTTAGTCAACCTAACAAAGTGGCATAAGAAGTAATGAGTGGGCAGCAGTAGTGCAAAACAGAAATCAAAATAAATATTTACATAATTTACAAATCGTTATATTATTATAAATATATTAAAATATACAATATTTAACACAATGGAACATTGTTTTTGAATAAATTGAATTGGAACGCTAATGAATGTCTCATTTTTTTATTTTATATTTTGATTCTCATCTGGGAATCTCTAAATTCTTTTTTTCATAAAATTTATCATAACTAAAAGTATTGTTTACTTTAATAAATATTTACGCGACTATTATTTTTATGGATACATTGTATAGTGATCTTTATGTGAGTACAAACTAAACTGCATACGAAACTACGTTATTTCCTCACAAAATCATCAGAAATATTTTCTTTCCGCTATAACAAGTGTGTATTTTGCAGTTCGTTAATGGTTTCTTATAGGATAGAAATATTAATAATTCAGTACTAGAAACCGGTTCCTATTAAATTATTCATTTAAATTCGGACTACAGGTAAATTGTGGTTTCACAAAACTTAAGTCTCTTAGGGGGATAGTATTGCTACCATTACGTTCCAAATATGATTCTGTTACCGTTTATTAAGTAATGCTGATACAATGTCTTAAATTTATCTTTAAAAATAATCTTACAATTGTTGTACCGGTTTCATAATATATTAATTTTGTCCGTATTTAAATAGTATTTTTGTGAAATAAAATATTTTATATTACTACCTATTTTGATCGTAAAATAGTAAAGTATGCGTGGGTTATTGTAATTCGAAGTGAAAGGTAAAGGAAAGCCAGTGAAATCTTTAGGGATTTTATTGACTTTCTTTCACAGAGGAGTATGATATTATGAGTGGCGACGCATGGGCGGGATAGTATATTTAGTAATGTTTTCACCTATATTTTTATCAAATCCCGGACAGGACAGGAATTTTCGCTTCGCGTAGTAATGTATTTACCATTATACTATGGAGGTTATCATATGTATGATTATCATCATCATTATCTGATGTTGATATGATTAACAGCCAATAATGACAGTTTAATTACTCTTGGCAGGCAGGTCTGCAACCGCAGTTAGGCTTTTGATGATACTTTTAGAGGGACACTGCTGTCCATCTCTCGACCACTAAGTTTCCTTAGTCACCTCTTACGACATCCACGGGGAAGGAAATGGATTGCAATTCGTTTACAGAACCCTTAAAAATTAGTGCCCAATCACGCGAATTGTTTACGGAACCCTAAAACTAGTGTCTAATCACGCGAATAGGTAATCACGACGAAACGGAATATAACTACTCATTACCTGAGCAAGGGGAAAAGAATATTTCCCAATGCCGCCTATTTACGTGAGCGCACCTATCTAGAGACGTAAAAATAACGAGATACCGCACAATGCGTCCAATCAACCAATATTTCCCCCAATTTCGGCGAAACAACCCCCAACTCCCCCACCTGCCACTTCCATCAAGAGGAGCGTTCAGAATCAATCGGTAGAAAAAAGCCCCTGATAATATAATAGAATTGAATTATCACTGAGATGAAGACGCAGCGAGGGAAAGAAAGGCAAGCGACTCGATGGAAAGAGTCAGTAATTCGATTTCGGTAACAATCGAGACGCGGTATCGAATGGGATGTTTGTTCCCCACCCCCCTCGCCTTCGTTCATGCCCATCCCGGTAATGCAATAACGAAAATTGTTATAGATCTCGATTCAGCACGCAACAGGTCCTACGCTTCTGATCACCTTAATGTTTTCTATTTCGTTAAACATATTATATATTATAAATAGTACATTTCCCGCTATATTCATAAAAACTAAAACCACCTGCTAACCTATTTTAATTAAATTAAAGTATTTTATCACTTTCTTATACATTCTTCCTAGTTATCACCGTTATTTATCCTGGATACGTGCAGTTATTTTTTTAAATAAAATACAGCCCTGTTACTAGCTCATAATGTAGTTTTTTTTTGAGTGAATATATTTTTAAAATCGGTTAATAATTTTCTAAGTTTATTTGTTTTAAAAAAATACAAAATTTCTACTTTATAATATTAGTTAATAAAATAAGAAGGAAAGAGTAAAAAAGTTAACAGCTAATATATGTTTATAAGTCGATTTATATTTTCACTAAAGAAGGCGTAATAGTGCAACACAGTACAATAATAAATATGTCAAATATTGTTAAAAAAAAAAAAAATCTATATATTTCAATTGTTACAATATATGTCATATATGTTGTCAAAATTACTTTAAAATAAATATATACTGTCAGTAAAGATAAATAATATAATTTTTATTTTAATATATTTTTATTATAATTAACAATGTTATATTGTACCTAATCATATTACAGCGATATCATAACTCTTTTATTTGAACCTGATTTAGCTTTGTAAAAATTAAGTACGTTATTGCATTTTAATATAAATTAATTGAGTAAAAAAATTAAGTGTTTCTATTATTTTTGAATATAAATATTTTATTAAAAAATAACTGAATGCTTAATCATGTAAGACTTAGGCGGTGTTGAGTTCTCGAAGATATTAAGTTATTCTAAACACTATTTTATCATATCGGACGACTTATCTCGAATAAATTAATTGCTTGTCGAGTTTAAATAGATCTTAATTAAACAAGTAATAGGTACGACGTAAAACAAACTGGAATGCAAACATTGACTTTCCCCCGTTAATAAAATAAATTACCAACTATTGATTTTCATATACTGTATAGAATTCTATAAAATTTTTGTATGAATATATAAAATCAGTTTATCAAAGTTAATTGGCTTTCACATTACTTTGCTGTAATGAAACTGAGCGTTTACAAAATGGCTTCAATCAATTTATTAAAATGCATTTCTACGGCATCAAATTCTATTAACGGGGGGAGTCAAAAACGTAGGTAACATATAAACGCACTTACCCCGCTCAATGTTTTGATATTGTGCAAAGCATCTTGCGCTTTCAACGCTGCTTTGCGCGTGAAAAACGTCACAAAACAGCACCCTGTAACAGAAGCGCACACTATACAAAACATGACATTCACAAAGACAGGACTAAGGTAACATATTACTACATCTAATATTAGAGCCGTACTACACAAGCATTTTGGACATAGGCACTGTCTAAACGATATCACCGCGACATTGCGATTGCATTTTTATTTTGGATTTAGTGGGATTTTACGTCCTTAGCATCGCGTCAGTAATGTTGCTGGAATGAGTATTTTTTCGTGATTTTAAGTAGAAATTTTTAGAGAAAAAAAATTTCATCCGAGAATTTTGATTAATTTAGTTTGAAGAGGTTGTCAATATGTATGTATACATTTGTATGTAGTAAGTTTATATGTATGTTAGTAGTGGGGTTTATTTTTTTTTTACTTACAGAGTAGTGGTTATAAAATGTAGTGATATTGATTATATTGTACCGCGTCATAATATATTGTAAAGTCGCCTAACAGTGTTTAACTGGATGGAACGGATTGTTAGTAAAAGGAACATGAAAGCCATTGTGCTTAATTTCAGGTAAATTCATTATGATGGGCTAACGGCCCTGCCTTCTTACGAGTATACTCATCTATCACTACTGTTAGTGCCAGCGTGGTTATCATTCCATTATTATCTATTTAAAAAAAATAACGTTTCACTTTCGCTATGATTTTGTCACGTATTTGTTGTAGTATTTTTAAGACATAGCAGAGGTGTCTTGGCGATGTCGCGGCGATATTGTATCGTTAATATTTATGTTAATAAAACGTTTATGTAATATGGCCATTACGGTTATACCAATACATACTGTATGGCATTGTTTTTCAACCTTCTTCATGGCCCGATCTCCCTACTATGAAAAAATATTTTGCGACCCCCTACTTATTTTTTTATTAATTTGTATTAACATACAAATATTTTCATTATCATTTGTTCTTTATAAATTTATCTTTATAACTTTGTTTTTTTTTACTGAGGTAGTTTTCGCGACTTCCTATAGAGGCTTCGCGACCCCCCAGGGGATCGCGACCCAAACGTTGAAAAACACTAGTCTATGGTATTTTTTTTTTTAATTTAAATTACATATTTATGTTGGTTTTACACAGATGTTTTCTTCGAGATTGCCCGTCTACTTTAGAACTTAACAAGAGATACTAAAGGCCTGTAAGGCCGATTGGACATTATGTGACAAAATTTGAGTAATTTTAAAATTCAAAATGAAATGAAATTTGTGTAATCATATATGTATACCTTGTATACCACTTGAGGGTAGCTGCATGTCATTGTTGGTATCATCATCATACCAGCTTTCAACTGTCTACTGATGAACATATGCCTCCTTTTTGGGGGATTTTGCCAGTAGTTTCTAGGCTTAACAGGCGATTGACGACCGCAGTTAGGCGTTTGAGGTGTTTTAAGAGAGACGCCGTTGCCCATCGCTCGCTCTCTCTTAGTCGCCTCCTACGACCATCACGGAAAAGGAAAGGGTGGCCTATTCTACGTCAGGACTATACGGCGTTATTTGTATATTATACTATGAATGTATCAAAATAAACTTCAAAATTCTATCTTCAGATATAAAAAGGCCAGGGTAAAGAAGAGAACATCAAGGAAAATTCTATACATGAACAACAATATCGGTCGTTTGTTTAGACGATACCAATGGAACAGTATGGCAATCTCGAAAAAAAAAAAAAGAATATAATTAAAATGTCTTAAATAATAACATTATAACACGGTACGAGTTACTGTAGTTATCGTTTTACATGCTTATATAAAAATCATCCTTTTTTAATATTCATCAGGCATGCTCGTTTCCGACAATGTAATAAAATATACTCAGGATATTTTATATTATCCCATAAAAAGTTTTAATATTATCAAAGTGTTTTTAACTGTATGAAATTGTATGTAATACATTTGAGTAAACTTGCAAACTCTTTGGTTACAATAAATATAAATACCACGTTATCAGGATGAATTATACATTATTATTAGATATGATATTAGATATATTTTACTTTTATCATATGCATAAAATACTTCTTTCACAAATAACAATAAAGTCCCGAAGGATCGTTTTCATCAATGGAAACAAAAGGTACCTATTTAAAAAGCACAATTTTACCTCAATTTACATATTCGAACAATTCAAGTTATGATCGCATAATTGTTAGCTTTAACATATAATAAACACGTAACAGACATTATTATGTATATGTCCGACGGTCCTACACGGGTATGCAACATTGCTACCAACAAAAACAAAAGGGTTTAGTCTTGCAACAAAAGGAAATTTTCCACACAAAAGACATTTAGCGAAACAAACAAAAATGTCAACACGAAACGCAGGGCGCCGTCTGTCGGCGTAACAATAACGCTGTTATTTAAATTTGGACTTTTATTTCATTTGTTTACCTCTGCTGCGGCAAGTAAATTAAATACGTGCAAGTATGTACACATACGTACATATAGTACACACTCTACTATGGTTTTTAGTTAGGTTAATCTTTTTGATTGTGGTTGAACGTTTGAATTTGAATATAAAAACAATTTTTCTGGTAAACAACATTACGGGGTGTGTTATAACACCAATGGATTTATCTAGGAACGTTCACTTTCATATCTCATATTTTTTAAACCAAAATACAGCCATGCAATGACAGCTGCTATTTTATCCTCCGAAACATGAGTGGTAAAAACATAACACATACCCATGCGGAAAACTTTATGTAAAAACTCCTTTAATTGTATTACATAATACTAAAACATTATACTTGTTATATTAACAATTTTCCAAAAAATAAACACCAGTTCACCTTTACATCGGAGTTTTCAAGCGTTTTATTCAAATATTAATAGGTAATTTATGATAATAATAATCGACTTTGTATCGACAGAGAACTTGGTACCGAAAATTTGTTGAAATATTAAAACGTAAATTAATTTTCTAAGTGTCGCGAGTCGCTTTTATAGAACAACTTCATCAATATTGATAAACGACTGCTTTGGGAGCTTTCCTTGTGTAGAACAGTTATTAATTTCACTAAAAGGAATTTTTGCTGAAACATAAATTAGCTATATAAAATTTACGTGGGCTGGCGTTTGATTAATTTTATGAATTTTATATTTACATGGCAGGTTTGTGGAACTAAAATAGTGGTCGAATTTATATGAGATAAAATGTAACTTTATTTTGAATATGTAAAAATATAATATACATGAGAAATAGGTGAAATTATTGGGTAAGGAGACAACACCACAGTCCTCAGGAATGACGAAATACGAGAAGAACCATGGGTCTCACTGTATACACTGTGTCGGCGATACTGTTCATGTTTACAGATGACGGTTACAATTTCTCATTAAGGGAGCTGTCAGCTTGTTTGCTATTTTAAGGTAGATAAAAAGTCATGTTATAATTTTTTTTTGTTGAGTTACGTACTGTACAGTTTTAACAGAGATTTTTTTATACGAATCCTGGGATTCTCGGTAAGACTTTGCCAAGAGAAAGGTGGACAGATACAATATTTATTAGCAACAACTATAAAAACAATAAATATATACAGTAAAATAAATAGCAAAAAAAAAATACATTTTGCTCGTAATAGGAGCCGCCCCAGCTGTTGCTATATATGCATAACTATAGCGAGATGCACATATACTATACAGTGTTGATTTTCAGGAAGCCTTTTAACTCATTTAATTTTAGCAGTCGTGCGGGTCGCCAATAACCATTTTGAGATCACAGGAGACCTTTTAAAAAGGGCCAATGCGCACGTAACTTTTTTGGATTCGTAGGAGAAGTATTTTTTTTATGCAACTTAGAATGGCAAACAAGCTGACGGTCCACCTGATGGAAAATGGTAACCGTTACCTATAGAAGTCGATATATGAACAGTACCATGGCCTTAACAGAGTATACTGTTTCACACATGATACTTTTTCATGCGTTTTCATTCCTGAGGATTCAGGTGTGACTCCTCTGTACCCTGTAAATTCGCTATCATAACTAAAATATGCTAAATACTCTTTTAAAATAATCAGAATGCAAAAAGCGGCAACTATAATACAGTTTATGTAATTCTAAAGCGATTCTGCAATAGTAGTTAAAAATAATACCCTAATAACAAGTTAGTGTTAATTTAGATTCTTTAAGAATATTTACACCAAAATATTGTGTGGTGTAAATATTCTTATGTTATAAATGTTATAACTGTTGTTAGTAATTCAAATAAAAAATAAATTGTTATATAAATAAACAAATGTCTCTCATTTTTGGTATGAAATATCGAATCGCTTCTTCTAAGTATCTCATAGAGTAATAAAAATAAAGTAGAAAATATATAGTTTCATTCAAAATTTTATAATACACCTAACTCATCGTGTGATATTTTAAGTTCTACGATTCACACACCGGTAGTTATAAAGTGTATCAACTTCTTGAAGCATAATTTTACAAGTTGGAAGTACTTTATATATAAAATTACACGAGCCAATCGCTCGGGGAAACTTTCTCTGGTTTGTATATTGAGCGGAGACGCTGAAAGGTTCATTGTTATGGTTTCTTAAGGGGGGAAAGAAATCGTAAATTGTCCTATGAAAATATATCTGTACGTTTTTTTTTATGTAACACCTACATGTAACATAATTTAACGGAAATATTGAATGTATTTTACATAATTCAATAATCAATTTGAATTTAGAATTTTACAATTGATCGGATATTGTTTTGTTCTTGTAATTCACTGTTCAAAACATAATTATTATTTTATAGATGAGAAATTTAGTCCAATTCTAACCTTACAATTATTTAAATACGGTTTACAGTTGTAAATAAAATAAAAAAAGAACATGAACCACATTTTTACTGACCTTTGCTGGCCCCCGTGACCTTGTCCCTTAGCACGTTGATCTGATGTACTCTTCCGAACTCCTCAAACATTTGTCGAAGATCGTTTTCGTCCATACTTCTTGGTACTTGGCCGACGAACATCTGCAATGTGATAATTTTAGACATCAGTTAGTTACTACTATTTCTGGAAGGATCAATAAGCGGATAAAAGGATTTATAGGTATGAGTAGTACCACAGTCGTATAAGGATAAACTGTGACCCATATGTGTAATCCATAGTACTTATACGCTGAAATGTTTAAGGACATATGTCAATCATTATTATTGTCATAATATTAGCCGTTATGTGTATACTGTTGAACATAAGCCTTCCCCATAGTCTCCTATAAGGGACGCACCTGAGTCACCTGCCATATATTAATCTATACTTATAATAAATCTGTAGAGAAATCAATTCTGTACATGAAATAAATTTCCAAAATAACTATCAGGGTGTGATTAGTGATCGATACTGATGCCAAAAATGCAATGAGTAAAATTTTTGTCTGTCTGTCTGTACGTTCGTTATAGAAACAAAAACTATTCGACGGATTTTAACGAAACTTGGTTCAATTATTTTTCATACTCCTGGGCAGGTTATAGTATACTTTTCATCACGGTACGATCAATAGGAGCAGAGCAGTGAAGGGAAATGCTGGGAAAACGGGAGAAGTTACTCCATTTTTAAGCTTCCGTTGCGTGTGCAGCCTTAATGGCCACTTTTTAAAATGTAAAAATGTTCACCCGTGCGACGCCGGGACGGGCCTCTAGTATACTTATAAAATTCAAATCCATGAATACGGTCAATTGAAAGAAGAATATTTTATTTTTAACTGTTGGCCACACTATGCCTGCTCACTAAGTGTTTGCTCACGCTACGTTTGAATGTTCCGTGGTTATAGGATGAAAGAAACACGTCTCGGGAAAGGCCACTCCATATTGTTACAGTATGGTTCACAATTCTACTAATATTCATTTATTTATTTATTTTACATACTTGGACAAGGTATCTTAACACTTTAACAGTAATTCCTGCACTAAGCTCCAGGCTATGAGCTTTAGAGATCGACAGATACTTTAAAAAAGGTAATAAAGTAATAGTAGTGTGCGATGTGCGTATCTCTGTGTGTGCGTGCGTGCGTGCGTGCGTGCGTGTGTGTGTGTGTGTTTGTTTGTCTTGAAAATAATAACATAGAAAATTAGCTGTCTTATGATCGGGTTAATTGCTAGTTTCTTTACATTTTCATTAAATTATCGAAATGTCGACAGTATTTATTTATGTCGTAAATACTGTAAAATGTTTCTATGGCGGTCCGACACATATTTGAGCAACGTTTCACAATGGTAACATTTGGCCGTTGGCGTGAGATGTCTGTGATTCAGAATGCATGAGAGATCCGGCGATAGCATCATCCCTCTAGAGGCGGCCTAGTCTTTGAGCCACCAGTGTGCTGTGTACAATTTTGCGTCATTTCAACGTTCGCAGTTACGGTTCGGTGCATAATGTAACTGTTTATATACATATATTTATATAAGTATCACAGAGAGACTTTTTACAAAAGTCTTTTGCGTAGATAACTTTTACTATTTTTCTTTTACTATTAAATTGGTCTGATCCGATCCGCCTTTGATCACGATCACACCTGACGGAAAGCGATGATATGGTCTAAGATGGAGCTCGAGGGCCCACGAATAGCCTTTGCACATTTGCCTTAAATTGATGCATATTATATTTGAATGGAAAAATATAAGCGGAACGATAGTTTCATTGTTTGGCCATATGCATGAGGAAGGTAGTTGCAAAGATATATCGTCATAGTCGTAGAATACTGACGGATCTTTATATGTAATCTTTGTCAGATCCGTCAGTATTCTACGACTATGACGATATATGCGTATAAATGGTATATATACGACGTAAAAGTGGACACTCTCGCTCTGTCTGGTCATCCCATATCAAAAGAGTCTCATGTCTATCCCATCCGTGTTTCTGTCGCGAAGTAGTTATGCTTACATGGCTGTGTTACAGTTTAAAAGATAATATAGCAGTGAAATTACAGAGTACGGAAGCATAATACCATAGTACTCAAAAATGACAACGTATGAGACGTACTATGGGTATTATAGTACATATATTTTGCAATATCCATGGTGCTATTCATATCTATAGGCGACGGTTACCGCTTTCCATTATAAGGCCCTTTAACTTGTTTGCCATTCCAAATTAAATCTAGACTAAGTAACCTATATAATACAAATGCTGGAGTACTTAATCAATCTGGCAGCTATTAGCATGGATATAAATTGAGATAGATGACGCCAGTACGCCTAGACACGTATGAAAATTACGCGCGCCATCATTAAACCATTTGCCATAATGTTACTAAATAAACTCATTTCCGTATCGAACCTTATTGAAAATACTAATTGTATCGCTGCTGTGCTATTTTCTAAAAAATTTTTCAATATACACTTTATGTTTTTTTTTAAACAACTTAGAATGGCAAACAAGCTGACGGCCCACCCGATGGAAAGTGGTAAACGTCACCTATAGACATGAGCAGTACCATGGACATAACAGAGTATACTGTTTCGCCCATGATACCCCCCATGCGTTGCCATTCCTGAGGACTCAGATGTTATTCCTTTGTACTCTGTAAATTCACGCCATATCCCACCGTTCAAACCGAAACACAGCCATGCAAACACAACTGCTTCACGGTTGAAGTCTCCCTCTGGTAAATCGAATAAATCGAATTTAATTCCTTAATTAAATATGTTTTTTTGTTCCAATATATCATCTTCATCATTTCAATCGTTAACTGTCCACTGTTGAACCAGCAATTTTACAGTTTCCCAGCAATTACTGGCAAAACCCCTACAATAGGGGCAAGCCTATATTCAACATGGACATGTAATGGCTGACATAGTATTTTTAGTTCACAAGCAAGCAGACTTGCATTGTCTACTTGATTTCATGTCTGTGGTTAGTATTTACATTTCAATAGAACATATTTTAAATACGCTATCGGGAATTTAACGCGACGTCGGCAATAAAAATCAGGTATGTAGGTACCTATTTACTTGCAATTGTGTTGCGATAGTGTATTTTTTTAATAGGTGAAAATAAAATAGTGACCCCGCCTGCGCTATCGGTATACGCTGGCGGGACACCACTGATGGATGATAGGTGAGGATGAAAGCAGGTCATTTAGCCCATCGTGACAAGTCCACAAAAATTAATCACGATGGTTTCCAGGGGGAACCGCGTTGAGGTCGACCTGATAGGGCACATTGCTAGAAAGGGGGTTGTTAGACTCCATTACTAACAATCCCTGCCCCCCGCGACAGTGTATTTAAAATATGTCTTAACAACCGAATAATCTGACATACATAGTTACAAATACAAAGAATCGAATAATCGATTGAATGTTTTGTTTCGTAATTTCATTCATCGAATGTTTCTGTGGTTATTTTCAACAAAACTTGGTTACCTTTTCGTTAAATTTTACTTAAGCAAACTTATACTTTCACGTACCTAGTGCAACTCCGCCAGTTTAATTTACGCCACTTGATCGGACGTTCGGTGGTTGGAACCTTTTCAATTACGCCATTAAATCACTTCATTTGCGAATGGCGAAGTTTGCGTTCGTTCTATCGGCGAACTATGGAGATAATATTACAGAACTACTTTCAGACGCGTTAATCGTGTTGAATAGTTTGATTGCAATGGAAATGTGATTTATCTTTTGAATCGATTCACCTTTTGTACTGTCGTGTGGTGTTGAAATAGAAAGGTGATTTATCTTTTGTATTGAATTGATTCACCTTTTGTATTGTCGTGTGGTATTGAAATAGAAAGGTGATTTATCTTTTGTATTGAATTGATTCACCTTTTGTATTGTCGTGTGGTGTTGAAATAGAAAGGTGATTTATCTTTTGTATTGAATTGATTCACCTTTTGTATTGTCGTGTGGTGTTGAAATAGAAAGGTCATTTATCTTTTGTATTGAATCGATTCACCTTTTGTACTGTTGTGTGGTGTTGAAATAGAAAGGTGATTTATCTTTTGTATTGAATCGATTCACCTTTTGTACTGTCGTATGGTGTTGAAATAGAAAGGTGATTTATCTTTTGTATTGAATCGATTCACCTTTTGTATTGTCGTGTGGTGTTGAAATAGAAAGGTGATTTATCTTTTGTATTGAATTGATTCACCTTTTGTATTGTCGTGTGGTGTTGAAATAGAAAGGTGATTTATCTTTTGTATTGAATTGATTCACCTTTTGTATTGTCGTGTGGTGTTGAAATAGAAAGGTCATTTATCTTTTGTATTGAATCGATTCACCTTTTGTACAGTTGTGTGGTGTTGAAATAGAAAGGTGATTTATCTTTTGTATTGAATCGATTCACCTTTTGTACTGTCGTATGGTGTTGAAATAGAAAGGTGATTTATCTTTTGTATTGAATCGATTCACCTTTTGTACTGTCGTGTGGTGTTGAAATAGAAAGGTGATTTATCTTTTGTATTGAATCGATTCACCTTTTGTACTGTCGTGTGGTGTTGAAATAGAAAGGTGATTTATCTTTTGTATTGAATCGATTCACCTTTTGTATTGTCGTGTGGTGTTTAAATAGAAAGGTGATTTATCTTTTGTATCGAATCGATTCACCTTTTGTATTGTCATGTAGTGTTGGAATAGAAAGGGACACCATTTACTTTTCTGTGTGTGTTGTCAAGAGGCGACTAAAGGAACTTAATGATTGTTGGATGGACAGCAGCATTCCTCTCAAAACATCACCAAAAGCCTATCTGCGATTACCTGCCTGGCAAGCGTGGCAACTACTGGCTAAACCCTCCATATAGGGTAGGCCTATGTTCAGCAGTGGACAGAAAATGGCTAATACAAATACGTTACAAACGGGCTAAAAAATATAGTTTTGCCATGATACGCACACTACTGCGCAAATGATGAACATTAGCCAGTTCCTTTATTTTTATTTATTTATACTTTATTGTACACAAGAATTACATAATTAAGTTTCGGTTTGAAGGGTGGGATATGGCGTGAATTTACAGGGTACAGAGGAATAACACCTGAGTCCTCAGGAATGGCAACGCGTGGGGGGTATTATGGGCAAAACAGTATACTCTGTTATGTTCATGGTACTGCTCGTGTCTGTAGGCGACGGTTACCACTTTCCATCAGATGGGACGTCAGCTTGTTTGCCATTCTAAGTCGTATAAAAAAAAAATCTACATTAAATGAAGATGTACAACAGGCTAGTTTAACTCTGTAAGAGTTCTCTTCCAGCAAACCTTGAGTGGAAAGGAGCATTAATTACCAGTGGGCAGTGCGCGTTATTATGTCAATTACCATCATTTTTAAATCATTTGGCAATCTGATAAAATATCTATGTGTGCTATCATTGTATACAGTGAATTTTTCTAGTTATTTCATGAGAAACTGGGCCTTAGCTAGACCCAAGTTTAAGGTAGGGCAAAAGAACTTCTTTGTAGGTCAAAAACTATAATTAAGTGGTAAGTTATTCGAAAAAGCGAATCTATATAATTTTCTTGGTGCCTTAGACTTTAAGTTAGGGCATTGCCCCTCAAGGATACTATAACATGTTTTCTTTAAAAATTATATTCTAGCAATAAATAATTCACGTACCTTTATATAATCGGGGTCCGGTAAATCGGGCTTCACTTCATTGTTGTTGTTATTGTTGATACTGTTGTTGTTGTTGTTGTTAGTGATGTTCATGTTCATCCCACTGCAACAAAACACACGTATGTTATTATTACCCCACGCAGTTTGTTGTTCTACGAGTATATGGGAATGAAAACATTACCCGTCTAAACTTGCTAGTTGTACACAGATATAGGTGTCTATATATATATATATATATATATATATATATATATATATATATATATATATATATATATATATATATAATATATATATATTATATATTTTCTTTTATATATATATATATATGATGAAGATATAAATTGTAGTACAATGAAAAATATATCCTAAGTTAGGATAAAACCAATAAACAAATAATAAATTAATATTTATTAATCACTTTTACAATATGAATATGAATAATTATAAACTATATAATATATTAAATAATCATATAATACTAATTACAATTACAATACGAATAGATACACATCAATATTTAAATAATGAATAATAATAATACAGAAAATACGTATCTATCGTGAAACAATTTCAATGATTGGATAATATTGTAACAAACTCATAAACTATTTCTAAAGTAAAAAAAAGTAATCCTCACTCCTACTTACTGTGGCAAATAAGGTCCATAATTAAAGTTGAAGTGTTATTTACCGACCACATTATGGAATGCAATAAAAAATAAATAAATAAACCTACCCATGCACTAAATTTTATTCAAATCTTTTGAATAGGTATTGTGTGAAAGAGTAATAAACAATCTACTTGTTCATCCTTCTTATAAATTTTCGCATTTATAATATTAATGGGACTATTTATATAAAAATATATCTTAGATCAAGCAATAAATTATTATTCAATTAATCTACAGAATTACAAGGCTTTGGTGCAATTATAAGGAAATAATCAATAAATTCCATAATGATGAACTTATATGCGTGCATGTACTTTATATATATTTTATTATTATTTACCAGAGGGAGACTTTGTACAAAAGTCAATTGCTTGGGTACCTCTGTCCCATTCGTGTTTCAACCGTGAAGCAGTTGTGTTTGCATGGCTGTGTTTCCGTTTGAAAGGTGGGATATGGCGTGAATTTACTGGGTACAGAGGAATAATACCTGAGTCCTCAGGAATGGCAACGCATGTAGGGTATCATGGGCGAAACAGTATACTCTGTTATGTCCATGATACTGCTCATGTCTATAGGCGACGGTTACAACTTTCCATCAGGTGGGCCGTCAGCTTGTTTGCCATTGCCGTCAGCTTGTTGTATAAAAAAAAGTAAAATTAGAATGACAATATTTGTATTATAAAACCAGATGATGTTTACATTACATGCTTTTTAGAAATGAAACAAGCCGATGGCGCCACCGTCGCCAACCACACCACTCTGCACTTGTAATTTGTTATAAACGATTTCACTAATAGAACTTCACTGAAATATTTTAAATTTAGAAACGATTCAAATTTCGAATATATGAATTATATATATATATGTATTTTTTAATTCATTAAAAGAAGATTTATCGATTGAAATATATGTACTGTTTATAGGTTATGTACCTTATTATTCTAGAAAATGTGTTGCTCCAAGCTGCGTAGCCACCGCACTTGTTTGCCATGACGTTATCACTGATAAGCCCATACATCGCTTGATTACAGGCCAGTCTTATCACTTATCAAACTTGATCAACAAACGAAACGAGCTCGAGTGTAGCTATAACGCGTGGAGGTTTAATGACTGCGGGTAGGTATAGAGAAATAGTGGGTTTACCCTACATTTCTATTTATTTTTATCTTTATTTATAAGACCAAGGAATTTGTGTATACAGCTTTGTCTAAGCTTGTTTAGGGTGAATTTATTTTAAAACTATTATATATTACTATTGATATGTACATATTTTTTTTTTAATAATTAGCTTAAAAGGACAAAATATATGCAAATTTGAATTGTTCATTATAATATAACAATAAATGGATTTTGTTTTCTAAATTGTTATTTAATGACAACCAATATGAAATAATAGGGAAGTAAATTTCAATTCCTACCAATAGAAAAAAAAAAAATTATGTAATATTTTGTAGCTGCACACTCATTTGAGGTCGAACTTAAAACTTTGCATGCCCAAACAAATTCATTACACTGACGGTGTGTTAACCCTTTCGATAATATTCATAAATTTTTTATACTATTATCGGCAGATAAATTCATTCAACAGTATTTTAACCGACTTCAAATATGAATATATTTGTGATACGTGATATTTTCTCCAGCATTAGGTCGAAAAATTACAAAAAAAAGTGTTACCATGTTCGGCTATATTGATCTTCGAAACTTCTCAACTGATTTCAATTTTGTAAATGTATTGTGTGTTTTAACTTGCGAGATAGGATAGTTTATATCTCGATAAAAAAGACTAGACTCGGTAGGTGGCGGTAGGGGATAAAAAAATGTTGGCCCGGTCAACTTGTAAATAAATAAATATTCACTGCTGTGTTCGTTTTATTCTATTCGTAATTTCATCTAAATTGAAGTTGACATTAAGTTCGCTTTCGAGCCATCCAACTTTAGGCCTTTAGTAAATATCAGTTTCTTTTGTATTTCGAACAAGTATTGTCTTAATTTTCTATTTTCAAATTAATTTATAATGAAAAAAAAATGTACCAACATTTAGAAACGATGTATCGCTGTGTGATTTTGTCAACAACTTTTTGAATTCGATATTACCAGCAAACTATTAGTTTTTACAATCTTACTGGCCTTAGTTAAAACGAATTTTACTTAGTTGAGGTCGAGTTCAGAGCGGGCAAAGTAAAAGAGAAATCGCTAAGCAATTTCTTCCAGATTATCTTTGTATAGAAGTAATTGTATCTGTATGGTCGAAAAAAAATGTAGTAAGAAGATTGTAATGAATTGTAATATCGAATATAGATATATGTAGATATAAAAGAGTATCTATTGGTCTTTATTATTTCCTCCAAAAGATTACAGTAGTAAATTTATTATAAATTATAAATATATTTTCTTGTATTTGTTAATACAAATAAAAGAAAATATAACGTATAAAAAAACTAATTGTGGTTTATTAGTAGGCATATACTTATTATTTGGCCGTTTTTTTTTTAAATAAAGAAATATAATTACAAAATGTCAGTTTGGCTTGAACAATGTTTTTTAGTCGGATCATCTAGTTATTATATTAAAAAAAAAAAAAAAAAAACATTGTAAATGTGTTAGACATGCGAACCCCAACTTAGACCACATGATGGTTTTCCATCAGAAAAGAACGTTATCAATCGCAGAACCCTTCAATAGTAAAAAAAGGATTGTACGCGGAAGTACTTAAAAATATTATATTCCCTCATATTCGTATACAAGTACACACACACACATACACACACACACACACATACACATGTACTCCTACACACATCCTCGCTTAAAAAGGTATAATGTTTATACATGACTCATTGTAATAACATTCTTATCTATGGTATCTATCGATCGATACATTATTTTTGCGATAATACACGCAACTAATACTTGTTCAGTATACTTAATATTATAATAGCTATTTCAAGCAAAAAGTTATAGTATTTGATGTGTTTATGTATATATTTTTTTATTTTTATATCAAGAAGGGGCAAAACAGTTACTATATTAGTAATATAATAGTTTCCATTAGGAACCGCGTGGAGGTCGACCTGATATTGTATATTGATAGCAATGGGGACTAAACTTCCCGTTACTAACAATCCCTTCCCCCCACGTGGCAACTATTGGCAAAACTCTCCTTACAGGATAGATCTATATTTATCATCGTCATCATCTCTGCCATCATTTGTATACTGCTGGATATAGGCCTCCTTTATAGACTGCCAAAAGGAACGGTACTGAGCCACCTGTATTTACTGACACCCTGCAATGCATTTGAGGTCGTCGATCCTTCTAGTGATCTATATTCTATTTGCCCGTATGGGATCGTCCTCAACTCAAGACCCTTTCTTTTTATGACGATGATATATTATTTTAATTTTATCAATATGACTTAATCACAGTTAGAAAACAAAGTTGCGGGTATAGCGCAATACAACTTAAAATGTAGCATAAAAACAAAAGAAACGAGGGTTATGCCACATTAAAAATGCAAGAGGGATTAACTAAATCTATCAAATACATTATTTTTAACTGTTAAACTGTTAAAGACAAGCAGTTATATAACGGATATTATTTTTAGCAAATAACGTTATTTTCAATCGACTTTAAAAGAAGAAGGAAGTTCCCAATTTTGATGTAGGTTTTTTTGTTTATATTTGTTACCTCAGAACTCTGTCTTCCATAAACCGATTAGAAAAATATTTTTTTTATCTGAAAAGATAAACTTCTAGATTAATTCCATAGAAAGTTTATCAAAATTAGTTTATTAGTTTGGTTTCTGATTCAAAACAAATGGTAATACCATGATTGGATTTTTTTTTTTTAGGAACAATATCTATTATTTCCTAATTTAATGCCAATTTTTAATCTTTAAAAAATTATTGATATACCTGTTTCATACACATCAGTTGTATCAATCTCGTAGTATCATTTTCAATCTTATTCAAACATTGACAATGTGACCTAATTCACACAATATCAGATGATAACTGTATGTATGTATATAATATTTATCTATTTATTTATCGACACAATCTATCGAAAAAATGATACAATATTAGAAATATTAGTAGTCCTCTAGCATAGAAACATAGTTGTGGACAGATTTTTTATTTTAAATTGATCAGGATGACGAAAATAAAATTACGGGCGGGCGAACCGAATCGAAAACCAGTTGTTGTGTTGAATCGTAAACTACTAAACAGATTTTGATAATATTTGTATGGAAGTAAGTTGTGTGTATATATATATATATATATATATATATATATATATATATATATATATATATATATATATATATATAATATATTTTCAAGAAAAAAAAATCACAATTGATTTATAACTGATGGAGTTACGAAGTAACAAACATAAAATTTATTCAAATTCTGAACCTCTTTTTT